TGGGCTACAAAATAAATCTCAATAAATTAAAAAAGATTGAAATAATATAAACCATATTTTCTGCAGTGGAATGAAATAAGGAATCAATAAGAGATGGCAAACAATAAAATCTACAAATATGGGAAAATCGAACAACACACTCTTAACTAACCAGTAGTAGGTTAAAGAACAAATCATAAGGAAGCTAGAAAATACTTTGGGAAAAACAAAAAGAAAACCCAGTATACGAAATATATACTTCTTGTCCCAGCTTCTCCCATATCCAGTTAATAGCTGGATAGCTTTACAATATACAGCAAGCAGCTCAAGGATTTTTTTTTTTTTATTGCTCTCTGAGCTGTGTCCTATGATGTCTTCACCATCCCAGCAAACGCCAACTTCTAGTTGTTTAGGAACAAGATCTTGGCGATATCTTTATCTTTCCTTTCTCTTGTACCCTCCATCTAATACATCATAACATCTGTGGGCTCTTCCTCCAAAATAGGACTTCTTCTCACCACCTCCATTGCTATCACCCTGCTCCAAGTCACCTCCATCTTTCACTTGAATTATTGCCATTCTCTCCCAGATTCCCCCTTGCCCCAGTTAAGTCTACATACAGCAGCTGGAGAGTTAAAGCAGATATTGAATTATCTCATCCTCTAACTTAAAATCCTGCCACTATTTCCTTTCACACTTTTGTTCTATAAGACTCTGCAAGATGACTCTTGCTCACTTGGTGTTCTTGATCTGTGTCTTTGCAGTCTTGAATACATCGAAGATAAAAATACTCCCATGCTTTAGTTTATATATTTTTTTTTTGGCAGTTCTAAGGTTTGAACTTAGGACTTCATGCTTGCTAGGCAGGTGCTCTATCACTTGGACCACGCCTCCAGTCCTTAGTTTGTGTTTTTGAACTTTGTGAGGTTTAGTGTCTTTTTATGCTTATCAACCATTTCTCTCTCTCTCTCTCTCTCTCTCTCTTTGGCGGCACTGGAGTTTGAACTAAGGGTCTCACACTCACTAGGCAGGTGCTCTACCACCTGAGTTATGCCCCTAGCCCTTTATCAAACATTTCTATTTCACTGTTATCTCATTTTTTTCCAGGTTGTCTTTCATCTCTTACAGGACTGCATATTTCCCTCAGTTTTTCTTTTTGGTATATAATACATATTTTATAATATTCAGAGATTTTAATTCTCATGTAGTCAAATTTGTTAATCTTTTCTCCATGATGTATGCACTTCAGTTCATGTTTAGAAAGACCTTCTCCTGTTCAAGATCATATACCCGAGATTTTGTCTATTATTATATGGTTTCATTCTGTCTTTAAATTTATATTTTATCTGGAATTTATTCTGGTTTAAGGAATTAGGGATACAGCTTTTTTCTTCCCCACAAAACACAGATGTCCCAAATGACACTATTGAATAATTCACATTCCCCCACGGATTTTAAATGTTACTGTTATCACGTGACAAATTCCCATATGTATTTGGATCTTTTTCTGATTTCTTGTCTCTTTCTTATCTGTCTGTCTATTCATGCACCACTCCAGCGTAGCTCGTTGTACCTTCATAACACATGGAAAAATCTGTCAGAGTGCATCTTTATGACTTTGACTTTCAGATTTCCTAGCTATTTTTCTGAAAAAGCTTTATTGAGATATAACTTACATACCACACAATTTGCTCATTCAGTGTATGATGTCATGGATTTTAATATATTCACAGATATATGCAACCATCACAAAGTCAGTTTCAGAATATTTTCATCATATTAAAAAATCCCCATGCTCTTTAGCTATCCACCATTCCCCCCTTATCTTCATTTCTTTAAATTGGCTACTCCTGACTTTTCATAGAAGTTGAGTCATTTAATACGTGGCTTTTGTGACTGGCCTATTTTACTCAGTATAACATTTTCCAGATTGCATATATCAGTTTCTCATTATATGATCAAATAATATCCACTTGCAGGATTTGCCACATTTCGTTTATTCATTCATCAGATGTTGGACATCGGGCTGTTTTACCATCTGGCTGTGATGGACAGCACAGCTGTGAACACGTACACACAAGTTTTTGTTTGAAGGCTCGTTATCAGTAGCTATCTAGCCATGCCACCAGCCACTCCCCCAATATATCTTCTTTGAAGAAATTTCTATTCAAATCCTTTTCCCATTTTTAGTTGGGACAGTTAGCTTATTAATTTATGTATTTATTTTGTGGTACTGGGCCTTGAATAAAGAGCCTTTACTTTGAGCCACTCCACTAGCCCTATTTTTGTGAAGGGTTTTTTTCGAGTTAGGGTCACATGAACTCTTTGATGGGGCTGGCTTTGAACCTCGATCCTCCTGATTGCTGCCTCCTGAGTAGCAAGGATTATAGGTGTGAGCCACCAGCACCCAGCACATTTAACTTTTTATTATTGAGTAAAAGAGTGGCTCAAGTGGTAGAGTACCTGCCTAACAAGTGCAGGGTCCTGAGTTCAACCACCGTATCCTCTCCCCAAAAGGTTTTATATTATCCTGACTCTTCTTGCCTATTTGTTTTTCTATTTGAAGCTTTGTCAAAGACAACTGGCAACTGTTATGTAGCTTAAAGACAAAAAACCCCCAAATATCTAGCCTGAGTCTAGTCTACTGGATTCTTCAGAAAAGAAAAATTCCTCAAAGTATCTCTCCCTTAAGTGTCCTGAAAAGATGTGGCCACTGATATTCTGAGGGTGATTATTATTATTATTACTGGTGCTACTGGGGTAGGGACCCGGGGCCTTGAGCTTGCTAGGCAGGCACTTTACCACTTGAGCCATCTCCTAAGCCCTGGTAACTCTTTTTTCTTCTGGCTACACTGGTGGTTGAACTCTGGGCCTTGTGCTTGTTAGGCAGGGGCTCTACCAATTGAGCATGTTTCTAGCTGTGAAAGTGATTTAAACTTGGCTTGCATACATGAAGCACGAACGGGTTCTAGCACAGGCCTCTCCTGAAGGCTCATGTGTGGTGTGCACAGGCAGAATTCATTGCTCTTGGTGGCACGACTTCCTGCAGCATGGCACTGACTCAGAGATCACGGCAGGAGGAGCCCTTTCCCAGGTCAGCATCCCAAGCTGGCCTGAAGTGATGATCGAGGCTTGCCAGGAGCTCTCACGCCTCCTGTGTTCAAAACTGAACCAGGCCACATGCCCAACCTGATTCACAGCGGTGGACTGCAGTGACAGTGGGCTGCATTAGGAGCACGTGGTTCCCCACACACTGTAGTCCTTGGGGGGTGTCTGAAAGGAATCAAATATTTTCTATGCTGCTTGTTTAGTCCTTGGGGTATCTGAAAGAGAAGCCAGCACTTCTGAGATCAATATTTTCAAGGCTCATCTGAAGGAAGCCTCTGCCTTGGGCTGCAGAATAAACTGTTTCTCTAGCTTTTTTTCTCTCTAGGGTGGATATGAAATTGAACCCTTACAATGTGATTATAATGGGAAAATAGTTTCAAAACTGGACCCCTAACAATGAACTGGCTTCTTTATTTTACAACTAACTTTCTTTTTCCGTCACTATTTTTTCCTCCCTGGAGTCTATTTAGACTTTTTTTTAAAAACTTTATCATTCTTCCCTCACAAGATTTTAATATAGCAGATATACTGTACATTTATTTGTGTACTGTATGTAAAACTGTGCTTCATACATAGAAAGAAAACAAGATTTGTTGCCTCCTTGGGGTGATATGACTCTCACTGCTGAAGTTTAATGTCCTTTGTGAGGTACCAAAAGGGCAGAAACTTAATCTAACCATGGTAGTTGGAGATGGGATCTTTGGGAGGTCATTAAGGTTAAATGAAGTCATAAGGGTGGGTCCCTAATCCAATGGATCTGTGGCTTTATAAGAAGAGACTTGAACTGAAATGCTCTGTCAAGTCTTTCCATGTGATATCCTTTGCCATCTTGGGACTCTGCAGAGACTCCCCAACAAGAAGAACCTCATTGGATACAGCTGCCCCATCTTGACCTTCCCAGTCTTGAAAACCGGGAGCAGAATAAACCTTTATTCTATAAATTACGCAGTCTGTGGTGCTTTTCAATAGTTCACAACCAATCCCCTTGGCAGCCTCTATAGACCACATAAAAGTGAGAAGCAGTCTAGCAGGGGCTCTGAGGAATCTGTGAGCCAGTGCAAATAAAATGCCCAGCAAAGTGCCTGGGCTTGGGGATGGAGTGGGAGGAACACAAGCCTTTGTTATTGCTGTTAGTAGTATTTCAAGTCAGTCACAGTGGCGTCTGGAACCCTCTCTCAGGCTTCAGATTTCTTGGTGTTGGAGGACTGAGCAGAAGTCTAAGTCATTTCCAGGTTGTTCTACCAGGGCCTCCGGGTTACACAAGGGGGGTGAACTGGGCTGGGTGGGAACTGTGGCAAATGACAGTCCCTCACTTTAGTGATATCAAAACTTCTAAGTGTTTCTTCTTCCTGGTGCTGGAGATCCTGCCCAGAACCCAGGACCTTGCCCACGGTAGGCAAGGGCTCTACCACTGAGCTACATCCTCATCCCAGAACTCCTGGTTCTTGGAAGAAACCAGGAATCTGGATTTTGGATAATTCTGGATTTGATGCCTTTTCTGTTACAAAACAGCAGCAGCTCTGTGAGATTCCAGTCTAAGTCCTAGTAGTTAGTGTTCCTTTCACTTAACGGGACCCCTCTCCCCCACTGCCTCTCCCTGCCGCCTCCTCCTGCCACCAGACTGGGGCCATCAGGGATGGAGTCGAAAGCCTCCACCTCTTCCCGGCAGTACTTGAACTCCCTGTCTTTTCCAGAGCGTGGACACTGGAGGGCCTGCCCCGTAGGAGGAGGCGGGCGGGTGTGTGGGGCGCACGGGGAGAGCGCAGACCCGAGGGAGGCCGAGAAAGGCGGGGACCGGCCTGGCCCAGCCTCTAAGTTCCTGGGCTGAAACAACCCGTTGTGCACACTCGGCTGTGACCCGCGATCCCGGGCATTGTTTTCTCTTCGCCGACTCGCAGGTGGGAGGCGAGGAACGCCGAGGTTCTGGAGTCTGGCTGCTCGCCAGGCGGGTGGCCTTCGGCCCTGGGGCCACAGGGCGGCCGCGCCTCGGGGTGGGAAAGAGAACGCCTGGGTCCCCGGGCCGCCGGCCGCCCGCAGCTGCGCCATGGGCTCGCGCGGCTCTCACGCCGCGGTCATCCCCGACCTGGACGCCATCCGGAGAGAGACCGGCTGTGAGTGCTCCCCGGAGGGGAGGAGATCGGGGGACCGACCCAGGGCATGGGGACCCCGAGGAAGGCGTGGTTGAGGGTGATCTGCGCCCCGAAGCTGGACGCGGCCGCGCAGGGGTCCGGGACCGCCGGGCCACGGGGCGTTAACTCAAAGCCCTGGAGTTCAAGTTCGAGGAGGGCCGGGTTCACGGGCTTGGAGGTCAGATTCGCCCAGGCACCAGGTGTCCTCGGGCACCGATCGAGGCTGAAGGCAGAGCTGGCCGCGCACGGAGGGGGTAGGCTTTGGTTCCTGGGTTTGCTGGGCGTTGGGAGCCTCCCGGTCTCGAACCTGGCCCTTCCCTGGATCTTGTTAAACTCTCTTCAGTTCTGGCCCCAGCCCGCGGGTTGGAGGTCCCCTGAGGGACTTCAGCAGCCGAGCCCTGTCCCTGTCCCGGTCCCGTGCGTCCTCGGATGGGTCACCCTTCCCCATTCCCTTCCGTAGTCTCGCAGGCCAGTCTGCTCCGCCTCTACCACCGGTTCCGAGCGCTGGACAGGAACAAGAAGGGCTACTTGAGGTGAGGGGGGAGCTGGCCTGATGACCTCTTGCCTCAATCTCTCGGACTCCGTCCCTTCTTCCATGCCCCGTCTGCCGCCTTTACCCACTCCCTTTGTCTTTCCAGTCGGATGGACCTCCAGCAGATTGGGGCGCTGGCCGTGAACCCCCTGGGAGACCGCATTATAGGCAGCTTCTTCCCGGACGGGTGAGGCCCTGCTGAAGATGGGGAGATGGAGGTGGAGTCTGGAGGTGGGTGGGCCGGAGTCAAGGCAGGGGGCTCACTAGGGACTGTCCCTCCGTCCCTTCTCCTAGGAGTCAGGGAGTTGATTTCGCAGGCTTTGTTAGGGTCCTGGCTCATTTTCGACCTGTAGATGATGAAGAAATTGGAAACCGAGACCCCAAGCAACCTGAACCCCTCAACAGCAGAATGAACAAACTGCGCTGTGAGTTTGTGGGGACCTGCCCAAGTAAGGCCTGGATTTACCCACTCCAGGGAGAGGCCCGGCAACCTCCCACTCCTTTGTGTGACTTTCCACCCCTCCAGGGAGGCCTTCTGGGAGAAGGAAACAGGGAAGAGTCACCTTCCTTTGTCCCCACTCTCTTCCCAGTTGCATTCCAGCTCTATGACCTGGATCGGGACGGAATGATCTCCAGACTGGAGCTGCTACAGGTGGGAAGGATGGGCTGCCACAAAGGTGGGGTGACACAAAGCAGGGCTGTGGGCACGGGGTGGGGTGAGGTGGGAAAGGTTTGGGGGCAGGACAGTAGCCTTTGCACCTCTTCTTTATGGCTGTCTCTTCCTTTTTTATGGAAAGCAAATTCAGGGCTGCTCTAGCCACACCCCCAGACCCTAACACAAACCTCTTGTTTGTGTTTGAGATAGGGTGCCCCTAACATTGTCCAGACTGGCCTCCAACTCATAATTCTCCTGTCTGGCTTTTGAGTAGCTGGGATTATAGCTGCGTGCCACCATGTCCAGCTATGGCTGTCTCTTCTCTCTCCTCCCAGGTTCTCCGGCTGATGGTTGGGGTGCAAGTGACAGAAGAGCAGTTGGAGAGCATCACAGACCGCACTGTGCAGGAGGCCGATGAAGATGGGGACGGGGCTGTGTCCTTCTTGGAGTTCACCAAGGTTGGAATGCCCTCAGGCACTAAGGAGTTGACATCAGGAGTCCCTAGGACAGACGGGCATGGGGAGTAAAGTTTGAAGGAGAAGGACACAAAAATAGGGGTTCCCAGGGACGGGTGGGACCCTGGAGAGTGGGTCAGACCTTGGGGGAGGAGGTTGGAAGCAGAGAGGATTGGGAATCAAGCCTTCTGACATGACCTTGTCTATCTCTCCCCAGTCCTTGGAGAAGATGGACATCGAACAAAAAATGAGCATCCGTATCCTCAAGTGACACCCCCCTCCTCCCCCAGCTCACGCAGGCTGGATCTGCTTGGGATTTGTCCTTAGCCCCGTGGAGGCAGGGTCCCCAAGAACTGTATTCTTTTTTGTTGTTGTTGTTATTGCACTGGGATTTGAACTCAGGGCCTCGTGCTTGCTAGGCAGGTGCTCTTACTGCTTGAGCCACACCACCAGGCCACCATGAACTGTATTCTGACTTCTAAATGCAGCTCTATTTAGGCCAAGGAGAGAAAGCCGGAAGAGTGTGCGGTAAAGTTCAGTTTACTTGATCCTGTCATCTTGTGGTGGCAAGTGACTGAAAATCCATCTCAAAGTGCCTTAAGTCAGAAAAGGGATTTTATGGACTGACATAGTCAAGTAGTCTGCCTGTCTTCAGGAACAGCTGGATACAAAGGCACACCTAAAGTGATCAGGACTGACTTTTCTCAGCTCGGCTCTTTTCTCTGCTGGACTCATTCTCTGCAGAGTTCTTTCCTATTGGTGGAGAATGGCTGCCAGCTGGTTCAGGCTTACATCTTCTAGCCCAGTAACCCTGTGGGAAGAGATTTCCTTGTTCGAAGAATTCCAAGCAGAGAGCATCAGTGGTCCAGCTGGGGTCTTCTCCCCCATCTCCAGGGCACTGGAGCATTTTAATTGACTAGATCTGTGTCATGACTAATTGCTACAGCCAGGTAGTAAGGGCTGAGTTCTCAGGATGGGGTGAGAGGTGGTTACTTTGAGGAAAATGAAACACTACTATCAGAGAGAAGTGTGTGTGTGTGTGTGTGTGTGTGTGTGTGTGTGTGTATTATTTTTGCTCAAGTAAAACAAGACATGTGCATTACTGTTTGGTTGACCAAAGGGAGGGACCCTTAAAATCTGGCCTCTTAAAATGGATTTTCACTGATCCCAGGGACACATGACATTGTGATGGGGGTTGACGATCAGAGGGGAGATGATGTAAGAGCAATAAACAATACACGCCTTCCTTGACTGTGAAGTTATTCAAAGATGTGGCAAGGAATCCTGTTGTTTAAACATTGACATATTGCAGAATATGAACCGTGAGTTCTGTGTCTGTAGCTTCCCTGTGGGAGACGTTATCAGTGCCCCACCCATACTCCCTTCCAGGGGTGTTCTGAGGATGTCTTGTGCTCTTATCTTCTCAACTCTGCTCTCAGTGACTGATGTCATAGCTTGAAATTGGCTGGAGTGGGACTGTTTACACCACAGACATTGGCAAATGTCACAGGCTTGGGCTCTTCCCCTAGGAGAATCTGTTGTTTCAGCAGTTATCACCTGCTGGGCATTCACCAGTCCTGTATGTGCCAATGGCTTCCTCCTCTACACACCTGTGTTGCTCTGCCTGAGGTCCTGGCCTGGCTTGGTCCCCTACCTGGCATGCGTGATGGGCAAGTCGGAAGTGTCAGGGAGTTAATGACCCTAGGACAGCTCTAAACCAATGACAGATGGAAATTGGTGGGTGTGTGCCCAATAACTTCACCCTTCAAGTGTGACAATTTAGAGGCACATTCTTTCTGTTCTCATAGAAATCTCCAGCAGGTTCGGCTGCAGTTGCCCACAGTGTTCCCCTACTGGTTGGTGCACCCTGTGTCAATTATGTCCCCTTTCTGGCTCTCCTTCAGCACTTTTTCTCTTCCCTCAGCACTTCCTGGGTTACCACCTCAAATTCTCACCTCGGGCTGCTTCTGGTGAAACTCAACCTAAAATGTTCAGAGCACAAGCACATGCTCCATGTGACTGTGGGATCCCGAGGACAGTGAAGAAACACTGCAAGAAAGATTTGTGTGATCCTGGCATTTCCCAATTGTAGGGATCTTGAGGTCACATAAAGACTGCATCTCTGGGGTCCCAGGACCCTGGAATTACCTGGGGCACTGTATTAACCCATTTCCTCCTTTAGGCTTTGATCACAGCAAGAGTCTGACAGATGAGTCTCATAGCTGGGGTGGGGAGGCGATAGGGGGATATTTGATTTTTTTAGGGCCTTTTAATGATTTTGTTAGAGGATTGCCACATCTACAAGGACTTTCTGTTGGAGGGATATATGTTTACTCTTTGACCCCAGGTAAACATGGAGATTGGGAAATAAAACTCACTCATTGGCCATTTTTTCCAGGCATTGTGAGGGGAGAATTGTCTATAGAGAGAAGTAGAGGGAAGGTATAGAGAGGGAAGAAAGGAGGGAGGGAAGGGGAGGAGGAGAGAGATAGAGATTGAGTTATAGTTTCTCAAATTTTCCCAATGGTAACTTTTTTTCTTTTTCGGTATGAGCTTGAACTCAGGGCCTACACTTTGAGCCACTCCACCAGTCCTTTGTTGTGATGGGGTATTTTTTTCTGAGATAGGGTCTCAGGAACTATCTGCCCAGGCTGGCTTCCAACTGTGATCCTCCTGATCTCTGCTTCCTGAGTAGCTAGGATTACAGGAGTGAGGCACTGGTGCCTGGCCCAACAGTAACTTACTTTTTATCTAATGGGAAAAGTCCAAAATTTTGGCCTTATTTGAGAGTCCCTGAGTCTCCAGGGAAATTCACGTCTTCAGTAAGTGATTATGATGCTAGAGGCCCAAGGCCCATTCATACAGCTTCCACTCAGGTTGCTGGCCACCACTTTCTCTGGGTGCATCAATTGAGAGGGATTATCTAGAGGGCAGCCGGAGTGGGAGGGCCCTGGAATGGTCCCAACTGTGCCACTTGGACTGCCAGGAGGAGCCATGACTCTCCTGGAATTTTCTAGAACCCATCTACATATCCTGAAGAAGGCATGGGAGTTCCAGAAGTCCTTTCCTTGCCAAGAAGACTGAGCCTGAAACACAGTGTGCACCTGAGAAGAGAGGCAGTAGAAGGACAGGGGTAGTGACCTTGCATGGACCTGGTTTTTCTCCCATTGCCTCTTTCTAAGTGATCAGGAAAGTAGTCAGGAATTCTGACCTTGACTCTCAAATACAAGGAAGCTGTAGGTTGTTCTCAGCCCCACCTACCCAACACCAATAAAATTCTGTTCATGTTTAAGAGGCAACATATAGGCTGGATTCCTGGAAAAGACCTGCCCTGAGAATCAGCATAGTTTAGTAAAAATAAGTTGAGTTTTGGAGTCCTACTAGGTCTGGTTTTGAGTCCAGGCCTTCATCATTACCTGCTGTACAACTTTGGTATTTAACTGTACCTCTGCATGCCTTTGCTTCTGCTACAGTGGAGAACTATTGTACTTGTCCTCTCCCCATCCTGCTTTATCTCAACTGAGGCCCTTGGTCCCATCTGTAAGCCTGGACTCTGGCCTGCATCAGTCAGGACTCCTTTAGTTGGTTGTTAACTGGCTTATGAAACAATAGAAATTTATTGGTCCCTGTAACTGAAAGTCCAAAGGTAGATCATGCAAAGAACTATCCCGAAGGCTTGATGACATCATCAGGAATTGGTCTTTTCATTTCTCAGCTCCATGGGCCTCTGAGTGGGCTTCATCAGCTCCAATGAATGGAGCTATTCCCCAACAGCTTTATGGAAAGTCCCAGAACTGGACTTTATTGGCCTGGTACTGCAGTGAAGTGAAGGTAACACTTTGATTGGCCAGCCCGGGTCACATGTTCTCCCTAGAAAGGAGATCGCTTCCAATCCTACTTGAACCAAATGTAATGTATGTGTTGACTCCCTACGGTAATATCAGAGTGCTGTTACCAGAAGAAGCTACCATGTTGGACAGGCAAAATCAACAGATAGCTATTTAGTTAGTTTGCTTTTTTGCTACAAATAAGAGTTTCCAACTAACAGTGGCTTAAAGAAATAAAAAAAATTATCTCATGCTATCAAACGCCTCTGGTGATATGCAGTTGTAAAGTTGTTGAATGTCTCAAAAAATACATTATATATTGTGATACTGGAGTTTGAACTCAGGGCCTTTTGCTTGCTAGGCAGGCACTCTATCACTTGAGCCGTGCCACTAGCCCTCAAAAATATGTTTTAGTTGGGATTATGGCTCATGCCTATAATCCCAGTTACTAAGAAGGCAAAGATTAGGACGATCTCGGTTGGAAGCCAGAACATGCAAATAGTTTGCGAGACCCTATCTCAAAAACCCATCACAAAAAAGGGTTGGTGTCCCAGCTCAAGTGGTAAGAGCACTGCCTAGCAAGGGTGAGGCCCAGAGTTCAAACCCCAGTGCCACCAAAAAAAAAATCTATCATCTATCTATCTATCTATCTATCATCTATCTATCTAATCTTTTAAGGATTTAAGATCTTTTACCCTTCCATTTCTCAACATGTTGACTTTTAATACTCAGGTTTACTAACTTGTCGTCACAAGATGGCTTCTGTTGCTCTAGCCATCACAGAGCTGTGTGTAGAGCACGTGTGTGTTAGTATTTCATCTCTGTGACAAAATGCCTGAGAAAATCACCCTAAGGAGGAAAGACTTATTTTGACTGACAGTTTCAGAAGTGTCAGTTCATGACCACATGGTCCTGAGCGTTGGGGCTGCCAGCATGGTGGCAGGAAGTGCGTGGTGGAACAAAGCTGCCTGTATCATGGCGGCCAGGATGCAGAGAGATAGCAGGGCCTGAGCCCAAGATGTCCCCTCCAAGGGCATGCCCCCATGATGTACGTCCTCCAACTGAGCCCCACCTCCTAATGTCCTCTCTGCTATGACTCCATCAATGGATTACTCCATCCACGAAGCCAGAGCACTTGTCCTTCAGGGACATTTTTAGATTCAAACCATAACAATGTGCCTAGGCAGATGACCATGGCAGCTAAAGATAAGTCCTGTCATGTCCTTTTGTTGATTACTGAGGAAAATCTTTCCTCTTTACCTGACTTCCATAAAGACACAACCTACAGTACCTCAAACTACAAAAGGGGCTTGGGACATGAGTATCTCTGCTCTTTTCAGATAGTACCGTGACAGATGAGCTTTACCAAAAATGACCAAAGGGAGGGAGAGAGTGGCTATGTATTGTATTATTCTGGTTTTATTAAGTGTGGTCGTGGTGGAGAGCAAGCTCAAACCTA